AAGAGGTGGACGACGACCACGACGCTACGACGACGACGACGACGAGGAGGGAATCGAAGTTGAACTCGGCGGGGATCGCATGTGGATCCTGTTTGAAGTATGTTGGGACGCGATCGGGGTTCGTGTGGAGTCCTATTGGAGTCCACGGGTCCGATTGGAATATTACTCGGACCTTGTTAGAGTCATACTTGAATCCTATTGGGAATTGGGGTCCTCTGGGACCTCCTGCAAACATCGAAAACCATCGAAACGGAGAGCGAGAGAGAGAGAGAGAGACATTGAACGAGATAATGCAAGAATGAGAGAGCACGAGGAAAAAACAGATAACGAGATAAAGAGGGGAGTCTGCCGATATGTAGATTCCATGTGGGGCCCCTTTATCAGCCAATGGCTTGCGTTCTGCTCGTCTGAGGCAAGGCAGATCACCCCCCCCACCGGCACAGACCGCGTTACTTGAGCACCGCAATTCCGAGGAAATAATTCATGCGGGGAGGTGCGGGCAGGAATGATACGAAGGGACCCAATGGAAATCCAAATGGCATCAACTTTGGTATCCGATTGGTGACTGATTGGGGTCTGATTTGAAATTAATTGGGATCTGACCGCAAGCAAATAGGAAACCCTTCGGAATCCGGAAGCAATCCAATTAGGATCAGATTAGAATCCAGTCGGGAATCCGATCGGAGCCCAAGTGGGGTCTGATTGCAATCTCGTTGGAACTGATCGCAAGCCAATGGGAAACCTTCGGAATCCCTAAGGATTCCGATTGGGATCATATCAGAATCCTGTTGGGAACTCTATTGGAATATGGGTGGGGTCTTGGGATCTCACTGCGATCCGATCGAAATTCGATTGGGAGCCCATTCGAATCTGAACGGGATCTACGCGGGATCCGGCTCGAATCCGACCGGGATGCTACTGAGATCCGACTGGAATCGGATTGGGATCTTCCTGGCACGCACTTGGAGTTTCATGTAAATCATATTGGGAACTTACCGAAATCCGATTGGCATCCCATGAGAAGTTGTCTGAGCCTGCCCCGAAGAGACAGAGCACAACTCGGCAGGCGCGGGAGCATCTGAGAAGTCAGGCCGCCTTCTGAGAAGGCCTTCTCCCTCTGACTTACCCCCCCCCCCGTGCCCTGTGGACACCCGAAATGTGTGCGGAAAAGCGGGTTCGATGTCCAAAAACAAACGTTATCCAACATCGACAGCGGCCGCTGATGGGCAGGCGAACTTGTGTCTCAAATGGACACCGCCCGCGGCGACACCGACAGCAGCAGCAGCAGCAGCAACGACAACAACAACTACAACAACAACAACAACAACAACAGCAGCAACAACAACAACAAGTGTGCAAAATGGACTGGCAATGCTGTCGGTCTTCGTGTGCATTCTTTCCGTACCAGTTTCGATCGTACCGATCCTCGCCGCCGACAACCTGGGGTGGCACGTAGCCCCCTTTGCAGGCCGTGCGTCTTCTGTCAGTCTGATCGCTCTCGCGTGTGAGATGAGCCTCCTCCCCGCGTGCGTGCGCGCGGGGAAGAAGGCATTCGACGTCGGCGGGGCGCTGGAAGGCGCGATCCGGCGGGCGAGCGGCAACGTCAGGGGGGAAGCATCAAGGCTTCTTCGGCGGTGCATCGTCGACGACAAATCGGCGATAGGCCTCCGAGAACAGATCTGGACGGTACCAGACCGTGACGGGGTGGAGCTGTCGGGCCCCCATCGGCGAGGAATGGGCGGTGTGGGGGTCGATGCCTGCCCCCCCCCCCCCGAGCCCTATCCTTCGGTCGGGCATGTCCCCCTGCAGGCGGATTTTGGACGAAACATTGAGAATGCCCAAAACATTCAAACATACGCCAAACATTATTTTAACACATCTTACCAGACTATAGTTGACAATTTTTGAATATTCCTCCTGTAGAGGGACACGCCCGACTTAGCCCTACCCCCCAACAGTGCCCCTGAGGGTCCTAACAGTTTTCGGCCGACAGCGCGCATGAGAGGAAACAGAGATCGGCCGCAGTTCCGTCGGCGGCCATCCTGCAGAGACCGCTGCCCTCCCCCCCCCCGAGCCGCCGCAATCCCCCTGGGGCCGCCCCTCCACAATTACTCAATATGAAAATACTCTCCCTCTTCCCCTGATGGCGTCCGGGTGATGGCCGCGCATTCTCCGCGTACTGTTTTTTAACACACAGGATGCCCAGGAAATCCCGGGAAACGACTCTCGCTGAGGCGCCGGCGTCATTTTCGGGCCGAGCGCCCCCCGCGTATTGTTTTTTTACACACGGGATTCCCGGGAAACGGGTTTTCGCCTGCTTTAAAAAAATATGATGCTCTCGCTGAGGCGCCGGCCTCATTTCTGCTCCCGAATCGTTCCGAATCGTGCTCCCGCTGCAGCGTGGGCCTCATTTTCGGATCGGTGTTTGGCCTCCGTCGTTCAGGATGGCGTTCTCGCCCCAGCGCGGGCCTCTTTCTCGCGCGCCCATCCGCCCGCCACCACCGCGCCGCACCACCACCACCACCACCACCACCACCACCACCACCACCACCATCACAACCACCACCAGCACCAGCACCACCACCAGCACGAGCACCAGCACCAGCACCAGCAGCAGCACCACCACCACCACCACCACAACCACGCACACACGCACGCACGCACGCACGCACGTGCACCACCACCCACTACGCACTCGCGCGCGGAGCCACAGGTCCGCTACGACACGCGTCCGCGGATCGAGAAAATCAGCGCCATGGTAAAGGATGGGAGGGAGGGGTAGGACGTCAGATATGACGCGAGCGCACCTAGCTTGCCCCCACCCCCTCTCCGCCTCCCCCCCAGCCTCCCAGGAGAGCCCAGAATTGAATCGACAAGTCGGATCGGCGGTCGAAATAAATCGGATCGGCGGAAATCGGCAGCCGAGTCGGGAGAAGTCGAATCGGCGGAAATCGGCAGGCTAGTATGCCTCCAGCAAGGAATCTGAGTTCAAATCGGAATCCGAAGCCGAATCGAATTGGAATCGGAAGCGATCGAAATCGAATCGAATCGAATCGGAGGAATCGAAACGAGCCCTGCCCTCCGCCCACCCACTCCGAACCCCAAAGCTTTACACTGTCGGAGGGCGTTCTCCAAATGGGGCTCTCTCTTGGGATTACTCCTGTTTCGGGGCCGGAAGACTTCAGTTGTGCAACGGCCGCACGGATGGAAACCAGCTCCTCTTCAAAATGGTGCACTCAGACGAGATGGCCAGACGTGTAAAATCGTGGAACAACTACGTGGGTAAACAAGTGGTTCGTTTTCAAACCAAGGCTGACGGTGGACACTGCCTCTAAACACGTGCTACGACTAAACGATGCATGGCCGTTCCTGCTTAAAACGGGCACCTCGCCCGAAGGCCCACGGGTCGCTCGCCTTTCAAGGGGGCGCTTCCACAGTGAAGAGGACTGTCTATAGGAACCTGTGAGGAAGGGGCTTGGGAAGGGAAGGTGTGTAGCATCGTTGACCCATCGAGGATTTACTCTGGCAACCGTAGTCCCCCTCGCCCCTTTCCAAAACTCCTCCCCTTCCTCCTCCACCTTCTGTTCCTCCCCGATCATCCTCAGGCATCTCCTCGCTCGCTTTCTTCGGGGGCGCGCAAACATGGATTAGCGATCCATGGATTTGGCGCGCGGTCGCCAACTGAATGGATCGGGGGAGGTGCCCTCCCCAAAATGCGACCGGTGCCGCCTCGCTCGGCGGCGGAAGTCAGCGATGTCCCATGGAAACGGGACCCGTTGCTAATCCACGCCCCCTTAAATCCATGTTTGCGATCGCCCGACCTGGGACCTCCCGTGACGGACAACCGATGGGACAGTTCTCCACACTACCGTAGGTAGGACGGGGGAGAAGGGAGACTGGGGAGCTCCTCTTCCTCCTCCTCCTCCTCCTCCCCCTCCTCCTCCTTCTCCTCGTACCCCTTCCTCCTCCTCCTCCTCCTCCTCCTCCTCCTCCTCCTCCTCCTCCTCCCCCTCCTCCAATGCATGTTTGCGATCGCCTGCTTTCTGGCCGGGATTTCGGAGGGTACCCAGCCGTGGTCGCGAGGAAACGCTCAGAGGGCCCAGAGAGCGTCGCGAGGCATCCAGAGACCTCGGCCCCCGAACCCCGCCGCCGCTCCAGGCGCGTCGGCTCGCCCGCGCCCTGCGACGACGAGGCCCGTGGAGGGCCCCTGGAATCCATGAGGTCGGGCATGTCCTGAGCATTTTCTTCGGGTGGAGGGCTCAGGGTGAAATCCATATTGGCTCTTGCACCTCGAAATCCAATCCGTCGTGTGATTCATCTTCTGCAGATTCAAACCTCTAATATCAATCGAAACGGCATTTCAAATTTCACTTGCCCTCCACCCAAGGAAAATGCTCGCGGACGAAAAATAAAAAAGACTTCAAACATATTCAAAATATAATGAAAACTAATGAAAAAATCGCCCCCGCACTAGAATTTGACTATTTTTGAATTTTCCTCCTGTAGAGGTACAGGCCCGATTCAACCCTGGAGCCCAAGAGCGGCGCACGCCTGAGGACCCGTTTCCCTCACGGCCCGCCTGCTTCGCTCGGGTTGGGCGCCGGGGTGGCGCAGCGAAGGAGGGTTAGGGGCGGCGGCGAATCAACTGTTCTGTTCTGGTGATATGCAGGCCCCGTCAACGGGGATCACCACTGGACAAGGACAGCCGTCTCTCAGAACTTCGGCAGGGGCGCCCGGCGACTCGCCGGCGCAGCAGCGCCGACCGCACAACTCTGCTCCGACCGCGACTCGCAGGCGCAGCAGCCCCGGGCAGCGAGTCAGCCCTTCCCCAGCTGCGCCCCACGGCCTGGAGGCGCCAATGTACGGCGCCCGGCGGTGGGGCCGAAACCAGCTGCAGGCAGACGATGTCGCACCTCCCCTCGTCCAACCCGTCTGCTTCACGGCGCACAGATGCCCCCGCGGACAGACGCCCCCCTTCCCCCGGCGCGCAACGGCTGGACCACCGCCGTGCAACCCACGTTCTCGGGCTGGACCTGCCGCTGCCCCCAGACCTGCGGGCGCACTCCTCTTCCCAAGGCGCTGGCCAACAACCATCAACTCTGCGATAAGATATACACAGACCCGCGTTGACACTGTCTTTTTGCTGCCTCGAGAAATCGCAGATGGTATGAAGTCACATACATACACACGCGTACATGCATACATACATACATACATACATACATACATACATACATACATACATACATACATACATACATACATACATACATACATACATGCATGCATGCATACATACATACATACATGCATACATGCATACATGCATACATGCATACATGCATACATGCATACATGCATACATGCATACATGCATACATGCATACATGCATACATGCATACATGCATACCTAGCTCGTCTTTCCCTGGCACTGGCCCGGCCTGTCTGCTCGGGGTTGCTTCCCCTCTCCTCCTTTTCCTTGCTCCCCTCCCGTTCCTTCCTTACTGCTCCCTGCCTGCTGTTTCCGCCTGGCCCTTTTTCCGTCTGCCCTCCCGCCCCGCCGGCCCTGGCCTCCCGCTCGCTCGTCCTCGTCTGCATGTTTCTCACCTCCTCGTCCCTTTCCGCCAGGGAACACAGCCTGCCCAGGACCAGCGTGGCGGCGTGTAGGGCTTCAGCCGACGGCAAAATATTGTGCTGGACGGGGCCTGGAGTGGGAGCGGGTACACCATGCGGGCGCTGCCACTGGGGCCTGCGCGGGAGTTCCCCATGGGGCCACCAAGCGTGCGAGGGGCGTGCCGAAGCAGAGGCATGCGGAGGGCAAGGGCAGGGACGGGAAGAGGGGGCGGAGGAGGAGGAGGAGGAGGAGGAGGAGGAGGAGGAGGAGGAGGAGGAGGAGGAGGAGGAGGAGGAGGAGGAGGAGGGGAGGGAGGAGGAGGAGGAGGAGGAGGAGGAGGAGGGGGGGGGGGAGGAGGAGGAAGCGGGGCGCTGAGAATTCAGAAACGAGGACAGAATCAACACAAGATGGCTGGGAACTGCTGTGCGGCGCGCGTGCGTTTCGCAAGACCCGGTCGGGACAACACATTCGGCGGAGCACGTGCGCGCACCGCCGCACGCGCAGCGCACACCTACTCGTAAGTCGGGCATGTCCCCCTGCAGGGGGATTTTGAACGAACGCTAAAAACATACCAGAAACAAATCCCAACTTATCAAAATAGTCCAGACATCGTCCCCGAACTATGTTTTTGAGTATCTTGAGTATTCCTCCTGTTGGGGGACAGGCCCGACTTAAACTACTCAAGAACCGTTGGCAGCCCATTAATTACACGACGTCGCTACTCAACACATGGGCGATGTCGGAAACCCTGAACCCAACAACGTTTTCATCTCTTGGTAGCGCATGTTCCACTTCCGCCGCCTTCCGCCGCCCTTCCGCCGGCTTCCGCTGGCGGAGGCGGCCTCGTTTTACTTCCGCCGACCTTCGGCCGCCCTTCCGCCGCCGTCTGCGGCGGAAGAGATGACAACTCCTTCTATACTCGAAGGCAAAGCCCTTTTTGGAACGCCCCACACGTCAACATGACCATGTTGACGAAACGTGCTAAAACTCTGTGCGCGCGCGCTGGCTGACACCGGCGCATAACAGCCATGTCTGTGGTTTGCCATTCTGTCGTATGGAACGATGCGGGCCACATGCGCGCGCATGTCGGAACCATTCCACAACGATCGCCCGCCCGCCGACCCGGCTAGGTAATACCAACTGGCCGCACACGCGCGTCCCAACACCGCAGTCCGTACCAAAACAGTGGTGTTCTATGCATTCTAACACATATATGTCCAAACGCCTGAAGTTCCTGCGTGCTTTCCAACAAAAGCTTAGAATCATGCGCGTGCACATAATCACCAGCCTCGTCATCACCAGGACCATCATCATCATCATCATCATCATCATCATCATCAACAACAACAACACCATCGTTATCATCATGGCCCGCGTCATCACCATGACCCGTGTTATCATCAGCATGGTAGTCAGATTGTCGATGTCGTCGCCCTCGTCACCGTCGCAACCGACATCACCATCACCATCATCGTCATCGTCGCTGTCACCGATGCCGTCGTCCCTATCATCAGTCGCCCGCCCGAGCCGTGGACCTACATGAGCAGGGTACGCACGTCGTTACGCCTGTTGGAATTTGCGAGCAAGTTCTGGTTAGTAACTGCCCGCACCCCCCCTGAGTTGTGCCACTGAGTTGCGGGTGGGTGGGTGGTATGGACTCGCGAGGGTTGGGCGTGGCCACGCGCGGATACCGGTAAGGTGGATTGCACCACGCAGATTGCACAGCAAAGCTTGCACCACATAGGTTGCAACACATATATTGCACAATGTAGGTTGCATGTCGACACTGCAAGAACGTACTATTTGGAACCCGCGCTGGCTAACATGTTTGCTGTGTGACCCCGTTGTCTTCAAATACACACTGATTGCTTCAGTTTGCTGATGT